TAAAACGCATCAAAAGCGCACTCCATGCTTTTCTGCAGCGTCTCCATTGAAGTCTATGGAACCAAAAGCGCCAACGTTTTGCATTTAAAAAAAACAAAGTCCCCGCCCCTTTCCAAAAAACGCAGCGGGGTGAAACGCGGAGATGTGAACCCGTCCCATAGGAAATCATGTTACATGGACTGCTGTGCGTTTCTGGACAACGCTTAGATGTGAACCTAGACTAAGGCGCGGTCCACACCTATGCGGTTTGTGTTTTGCTCCGTTTCTGCAGCGCTTTTTTGCGGTGCGTCGTGTTTTCGCACTTGCATTTTTGATGAGTTTTTATATGCTGTGTGTTTTTTTTTTTTTTTTTTTTTTTTGCCTGCTTGTTGCTGGGCGGATTAAAACGCATCCAAAACACACTGCATGCATTTCTGCGGCTTCTCCATTGAAGTCTATTGAACCAAAAAATATGTAAAAAAACGTTTTGCGCCGCTACTAGAAAAGATGCGACTATCGGGACAGCAACGCACACCCGGCTATACTGCTAGCAAAAAAAAGAAATCGAAAATGGCTGTTGCGCTAATCGCAATAATGCCGCAGACATTCCAAGACAAATCATGAGATGAGAAGACAATAGATTATTATTATTATTATTCAGGATGACGTCATGACGTCACAATATATTAGTATACAGGATGGCGTCATGACGTCACAATATATTATTATACAGGATGGCGTCATGACGTCACAATATATTAGTATACAGGATGGCGTCACAATATATTAGTATACAGGCTGGCGTCATGACGTCACAATATATTAGTATACAGGCTGGCGTCATGACGTCACAATATATTAGTATACAGGATGGCGTCATGACGTCACAATATATTATTATATACAGGATGGCATCATGATGTCACAATATATTAGTATACAGGATGGCGTCATGACGTCACAATATATTATTATACAGGATGGCGTCATGACGTCACAATATATTATTATACAGGATGGCATCATGACGTCACAATATATTATTATACAGGATGGCGTCATGACGTCACAATATATTATACAGGATGGCGTCATGACGTCACAATATATTATTATACAGGACGGCGTCTTGACGTCACAATATATTATTATACAGGATGGCGTCTTGACGTCACAATATATTAGTATACAGGATGGCGTCATGACGTCACAATATATTATTATACAGGATGGCGTCATGACGTCACAATATATTATTATAGAGGATGACATCACAATATATTATTATACAGGATGGCGTCATGACGTCACAATATATTATTATACAGGATTTATGGCGCCAACAGTTTGCTCAGCGCTTTACAATATAACGGGAGACAATACAGCAACAATACAGTTCAATACAAGAGGGTTAGGACAGCCTGATCCTGGGAGCTTACAATCTAGGAGGGAGGGGCTAGTGGTACAAAAGGTAATAACTGTGGGGGATGGACTGGTTGGAAGAATAGAAGATTCCTTTATTAGCTGACGGCAGGATAGGCTTCCCTGAAGAGATCGGTTTTCAGAGATCGCCTAAAAGTGGGCAGAGTAGGCGATAGTCTGATAAATTGGGATAGAGAGTTCCAGAGGATGGGGGAAGCTCTGGAGAAGTCCTGGAGACAAGCATGGGAGGAGGAGACGAGGGAGCTAGAGAGTAGGAGGTCGTGGGAGGAGCGGAGAGGATGGTTTGGGGTATGTAAGTAGACAAAGTAATACGCCAGAACATGATCCATAAATGGAAGGAATATGGGAGTGAAGGAAAGGTGAAATAATAATAAAGGTCCAAAATGAGGACCAAAAAGGTGTCACAGATAATAAACCGCGACTGTGGGCAAAACGCACGGAAATGATCCGGGAAGAATGAAATATGAACTGAATCCCAGTAATAGCGGGACATAGGAGCCCGTCATCACATACGTGACATAACGTGACACAACGCGAATACAACGGATGAGAAAGTGGAGCAAAATGTGAAAAATACTAAATGAAGAGATGAATGTGAAAAGTGGACAAACCGTGTGTCACCGAAGAATGACCATCACAACGCGCAGCGCGGCCAAAAAATGTGACCGTGCGACTAAAGGGCCATAACACATCAAACGGTCATGTGACCTGAAACAACTGATAAGTGACCATATAAATCCCACCAATCAATGCAGCGAACATGTGTGTGTATGTATATATATGAGTACAGCTAGTAGAACACGCGATGCGTTCGCTACATTGATTGGTGGGACTTATATGGTCACTTATCAGTCGTTTCAGGTCACATGACCGTTTGATGTGTTATGGCCCTCTAGTCGCACGGTCACTGCGATTGTCAGATCATGGGCAGCGATTCTCCGCACATCCAGAGTGTAAAGGCTGTCAGCCGGGTTCACACCGATGCGGTGTGGAACTTGCAGCGTATTCCGCACCGCATCAGAATCGCACCCCGTTCATGTGAACCGCTGCGGGTGTGTATGTGATGTTAACACCCCGAAATTGGTCTGCAAAACGTGGTGCAATGTGCAGAATCGGATCGCAGAGCTGTGAATACCCGTGCGATCCGATTCCAGTGCGGACCCAAAAATAGGGTCCTGCAGCTTTTTGGTGAGCTGCGATTAGAGCCATACAGAAAGTACGCCTCCGATCGCACCGCACACAGATTGCATGTGATTGGCAGAGGAATGCGGTGCGGTTCCTGTGTGAATCACATGCGATATACTGCACCGCATATATGTGAACCCGGGCTCATATGTTTCATATTTGCCACAAAAAAAAATGCGACTTCAGACACATAAAGGTTCCTTCACTACTTTGATTCGACTTCAGTGCAACTTTGATGCTACTTGAGTGCCTGAGAGTGGAAAGTCGCATCAGAATCACACTATGTGAACAGAACTGTCATATTTCCTATTGACAAAACAAAAATGCGACTTTGGACACATAAAGGTTCCTTCACTACTTTTGATGTTCCTTTAGTGTCGGAGAGTGAAAAGTCGCACTACATGAACAGAACTGCCATACTTTTCCTATTCGCCATAGCAAAAGTGCGACTTGGATCACATAAAGATTCCTGTACTGCTTTGATGCGACTTCAGTGCAACTTTGATGCTACTTGAGTGCCCGTGAGTGAAAAGTCGCATCAGAGTCGCACTACATGAACAGAACTGCCATACTTTTCCTATTCACCATAACAAAAACTGCGACACATAAAGGTTCCTGCACTACTTTGATGCGACTTGAATGGCAGTGAGTGAAAAATCGCATCCGAGCCACACTACATGAACAGAACTGCCATACTTTTCATATTCGCCTTAGCAAAAGTGCGACTTCGGTCACATAAAGATTCCTGTACTACTTTGATGCGACTTTAGTGCAACTTTGATGCTGCTTGAGTGCCAGTGAGTGAAAAGTCGCATCAGAGTTGCACTACATGAACAGAATTGTTATACTTTTCCTATTCGCCATAACAAAAGTGCGACTTGGGTCACATAAAGGTTCCTGTACTACTTTAATGCGACTTTGATGTGACTTCAGTGCCAGCGAGTGTAAAGTTGCATCAATGTTGCATCAAGTGTGTGGACAGAACTGTCCTATTTCCTATTCACCATAACAAAAATGCGACTTTGGACACATAAAGGTTCCTGCAGTACTTTGATGTTCCTTTAGTGTCGGAGAGTGAAAAGTCGCTTTTAAAGTCGCACTACATGAACAGAACTGCCATACTTTTCATATTCGCCTTAGAAAAAGTGCGACTTGGATCACATAAAGATTCCTGTACTACTTTGATGCCACTCCAGTGCAACTTTGATGCTACTTGAGTGGCAGAGAGTGGAAAGTTGCATCAATGTCGCACTATGTGAACAGAACTCTCATATTTCCTATTGATAAAACAAAAATGCTGACTTTTTAACACATAAAGGTTCCTGCACCACTTTGATGCAACTTCAGTGCCAGAGAGTGTAAAGTTGCATCAATGTCGCATCAAGGTCACACTGTGTGAACAGAACTGTCATACTGTTCCTACTGACAAAACAAAAATGCGACTTTGGACACAAAAATATTCCTGCACTACTTTGATGTTCCTTTAGTGTCAAAGTCGCACATTTGTTTTGTCAATAGGAAAGTATGACAGTTCTGTTCACGGAGTGCGACTTTGATGCAACTTTACACTCTCTGGCACTCAAGTAGCATCAAAGTTGCATCAAAGTAGTACAGGAACCTTTATGTGACCTAAGTTGCATTTTTGTTGTGGAGAATAGGAAAAGTATGGCAGTTCTGTTCATGTAGTGCGACTCAGATGAAACTTTTCACTCATTGCCACTCAAGTCGCATCAAAGTAGTGCAGGAACCTTTATGTGTCTAAAGTCACATTTCTGTTACGGCGAACAGGAAAAGTATGTCAGTTCTGTTCATGTAGTACGACTTTAAAGCGACTTTTCACTCCGACACTAAAAGGGACATCAAAGTTGCATCAAAGTAGTGCAGGAACCTTTTATATGTCCAGAGAGTGAAAAGTCGCTTTAAAGTCGCACTACATGAACAGAACTGCCATACTTTTCCTATTCACCGTAAAAAAATGCGACTTTAGACACATAAAGGTGCCTGCACTACTTTGATGCGACTTTAGTGGCAATAAGTGAAAAGTCGCATCCAAGTCGAACTACATGAACAGAACTGCCATACTTTTCCTATTCGCTCCCCCCCCCCCCCCCCCCCCCCCAATGCATATAAAAAAAAAAAACTGCAGCGTTTTCGGTGCGGGTCCATTAAAGTCTATTATATGAAAAACTTAATCTGTAGGGGAAAAAAAAGTCCCCGGTCCTTTAAAAAAAAAAACAACAAAAAAACGCAGCGGCTCCAAAAGCATAGATGTGAAGCAGGTCGATGGGAAATTGTTATTGGACTTTGCGTTCCTGCAAAATGCAGAGGTGTGAGCCACGCCCCAATCAGTTGTGGTCCTCATGTTCCTGGGAGGAGACTTAGGTCATGTGTACATGTGTGATTTTTTTTTTTTTTCCATAGAATTTTCCTTTTTTGACCCGAATGATGCCTCGTGTCAGGATATCCTGTTCGATCCGAGCACCACGGTCTCCGAACTCTTCGCTATATTGAGGCAATGGGTTCCTCAGGTTCAGCAGAGCATTGATGTCATTGGGCACGAGGTATTCTCTCTTCCTGTGTAATGTACGCTGCTTTATGGTATTGCTGAGAAAAGATACAGTAGAAGTTTAAGTTGCTTTTATTTTTGCCCTCCCCCCCCCCCCCCCCCCCCCCTCTTTAAGACCCATTGATGTCATCACTGGGTCTCTCTGCCGGCCTTTCCTCTGACTTTTGGTGGTAAAGTCCGGCAGGCTCCTATCAGACATGCGTGGGACAAATCTAGATCTATTCTCAGACAGAAAAAGTTAACAAAAAAAAAAAAAAAAAACGAATATTAAAAAAAAATGGACAAAAGGGCCCCCTGCCTTTGATACACTTTTTGAAAACATTATATGAAAGAACACATCCCTGTAGATCTGCTCATCAGTTGTCTGAGCATGCCTGTCTAAAAGGATGCTGGGCGTGTGTTCTTTCATATAATACTCTGGAACAGCATGATTGATGGCAGAGAAAGGTAATACTTGACAGTGACGGGCCAACAAATACATTACCTTTTTAAAAGCATTATATGATAGAACACTTCCCTGTAGATCTGCTCATCAGTTGTCTGAGCATGCCTGTCTAAAAGGATGCTGGGCGTGTGTTCTTTCATATAATACTCTGGAACAGCATGATTGATGGCAGAGAAAGGTAATACTTGACAGTGACTGGCCAACAAATACATTACCTTTTTAAAAGCATTATATGATAGAACACTTCCCTGTAGCTCTGCTCATCAGTTGCCTGAGCATGCTTGTCTAAAAGGATGCTGGGTGCGTGTTCTTTCATATAATGCTCTGCAGCAGCTTGATTGATGCCAGAAAAAGGTAATACCTGAGAGTGACGGGCCAACAAATACAATACCTTTTTAAAAGCATTATATGAAAGAACACTTCCCTGTAGATCTGCTCATCAGTCGCCTGAGCATGCCTGTCTGAAAGGATGCTGGGTGTGTGTTCTTTCATATAATACTCTGGAACAGCATGATTGATGGCAGAGAAAGGTAATACCTGAGAGAGAGAGAGAGAGAGAGACAGGCCAATAAATAAATTACCTTTTTAAAAGCATTATATGAAAGAACACTTCCCTGTAGATCTGCTCATCAGCTGCCTGAGCATGCTTGTCTAAAAGGATGCTGGGTGCGTGTTCTTTCATATAATGCTCTGTAACTGCATAATTCATAGCAGAGAAAGCTAAAAACCATGAGAGGCAGGCCAATAAATATATGGATCAGAATGAGAGGGGATTGATGATGATTGAAGTCCTTCATACAGGAAATGAAGGCTCCAGATGGCAGGTGCATCTTCATGATGATGAGCAGATTTACAGGGATGTCTAAAGGAATTCTGGGAATATGTTTTTGTTTAATGCTCTGGAACGGCATGATTGATAGCAGAGAAAGCTAATAACTGTGAGAGGCAGACCAACAAATACATTACCTTTTTAAGAGCATTATAGGCAAGAACACATCCCTGTAAATCTGCTCACCAGTTGCTTGAGCATACATTTCTAAAAGGATGCCGGGCATGTGTTTTTTTCATATAATGCTCTCTAACGGCATGATTGATAGCCGAGAAAGCTAAAAACTATTTGAGAGGCAGGCCAACAAATACATTACCTTTCTAAAAGCATTATATGAAGGAACACATCCCTGTAAATCTGCTCATTAGTTGCTTGAACATGCATGTCTAAAGGGATGCTGGGTGTGTGTTCCTTCATTTAATGCTCTGGAACAGCATGATTGATAGCACAAAAAGCTCATAACTGTGAGAGGCAGTCCAACAAATACATGATCTTTTAAGACCATTATATGAAAGAACACATGCCCAGAATCCCTTTAGACATTCCTGTAAATCTGCTCATCAGTTGCCTGAGCATGGACGTGTTCTTTCATTTAATGCTCTTAAAGGTCATGTATTTGTTGGCCTGCCTGTCACAGTTTTTAGCTTTCTCTGCCATCAATCATGCTATTCCAGAGCATTAAAAGAAAGAACACGCGCCCAGAATCCCTTCTGACATCCATGCTCAGTCAACTGATGAGCAGATTTACATGGATGTTTAAAGGGATTCTGAACACATGCCCAGAATCCCTTTAGACATCCCTGCAAATCTGCTCATCAGTTTCCTGAGCATGCCTGTCTAGAAGGATGCTGGGCATGTGTTCTTTCATATAATGCTGAAGCAGGCCAACAAATATATGCATCAGGAGGAGAGGGGATCAATGATGATTGAAGTCCTTCATACAGGAAATGAAGGCTCCAGATGACAGGTGCAGCTTCAAAGGGTTGTGATGTGTAGAAGCGACTTTGTGGAGAATTTGGGGTTATGCGATTCAGCACAGGAGGAGTCCCAGCATGCCTTGCGACACACATCACAGGCAACTGTTCATTTTTCATTTGAACTTTTACGCTCCATTCACACCAGTACGACCACTAAGTTCTGGTAAAATAAAAAATTAAATAAACCATAAATACAATTCCAAAAATAAATATCCAGAAATTAGTGTCCAAATGTAAATAAATGATAGTCCACCAAAGTATCTCAATCCAATGTATCCAAGTTTAATCCTCTATTCCGGACCACGTGATACCTAAAAAAAAAGTAACTATAATAATGTAACACCTTCAAAAACCTCACAGAAATGTATATACTATATCAGTGCAAACTAAATATATGTACACAAAAATATACACACACCGTGTTCCCAAATGATTCTGCAGATGATATTTCCTCATTTCCCTCAATAATTGATGTAAATATCAGTCGGCAGAATTCTCAGGTGACAACTAGAAGAGGACAATTCACATTTTATTGAACGAACCTCCTAATGATAACAGGATTTTGTTCCGGATTATTCCGCACAGGAAGTTTCCAAACACTTTCTAGGTTGTAAAGAACTGAAAATTGTCATTTGTTGTGTTTGCAGCAAATTTACTGAAATCAAAAGCTATTTCAATCCAACTTTTCCCAACATTGTAACTTTGTAAACCATTTGAAGCGGTCACGTTACATTGTAACATAGGAGCCCTTATCTGATAGCAGATCACAAGTCTGGCATCCATTGAACTTGGCAGTTTTTGGACAGTTTCTGCTGGAATTTGTTTGCAAGATGTCAGAATCGCCTCCCAGAGCTGCTGTTTGGATGTAAACTGCCTCCCACCCTCATAGATCTTTTGCTTGAGGATGCTCCAAAGGTTCTCAATAGGATTGAGGTCAGGGGAGGATGGAGGCCACACCATGACTTTCTCTCCTTTTATCCCCATAGCAGCCATTGATGCAGAGGTATTCTTTGCAGCATGAGATGGTGCATTGTCATGCATGAAGATGATTTTATTACGGAAAGCATAGTTCTTCCTTCTGTACCAGGGAAGAGAGTGGTCAGTCATAAACTCCACATACTTTGCAGAGGTCATCTTTACACCTTCGGGGATCCTAAAGGGGCCGACCAGCTCTGTTCCCATGATTCCGGCCCAAAACATGACTCCACCACCGCCTTGCTGACGTCGCAGTCTTGTTGGAACAGGGTGGCCGTCCACCAACCATCCACTACTCCATCCATCTGGACCATCCAGGGTTGCACGGCACTCATCAGTGAACAGGACTGTTTGAAAATGAGTCTTCATGTATTTTTCTGCCCAATGCAGCCGTTTCTGCTTGTGAGCATTGATTAGTGGTGGCCGAATAGAAGGTTTCTGCACAGTTGCAGGACTCTGGAGGACTCTACACCTTGATGTCCGTGGGACTCCAGAGGCACCAGCAGCTTCAAATATCTGTTTGCTGCTATGTAATGGGATTTTAGCAGCTGCTCTCTGGATCCGATGCATGGATCTGGCAGAAATCTTCCTCAATGTGCCTTTATCTGCACCAACCCGTCTGTGCTCTGAATCAGCCACAAATCTCTTCATAGTGCGATGATCACGCTGACGTTTTCCTGAAATATCGAATGTTTTCATCCCTCGTCCAAGGCATCGAACTATTTCACTCTTTTCGGCAGCAGAGAGATCCTTTTTCTTCCCCATATTGATTGAAAATGACGCTCTGCTTAATAATGTGGAACGCCGTCCTTTAGGAGTTTTTCCTTCAATTGGGCTCACCGACCAATCTAATGATCACAGGTGTCCCAGATTGTTTTCAGTGATCAAAAGAGCCCTGACACACAATGCCATCCATGAGTTACACTGAGAAACAAAAGATTTCATCTTTGTGACACTTACATAGAATTTGCATAATAATTTGGAACAGGGTGTGTATATATCCAGATTCAACTGTGAGTAACACGTGAATCATGCAAATATCACTTTGTATACAATCCAATAAAAAAAAAACAAAACCAATAAATCCAAAAATATATATATATAAATATGTATACCAGATTTAACTGTGAGTGACATGTGAATCGTGCAAAAAAAATCACTCTGTGTACACTCCAACGTGAACAATTGTGTACACAAACCACAAAAAAAATTGCAATTAAAAAATATATCTAATAATATAAAATAAATACGTGAGACAGATCAATCAATCAATCAATCGATCAATCAATGAAGTGATCACCTCTAAATGGTAAGATTAAATGCAATCACCCTCATGGAGTAATATCAAGCTTCGCGGGATGTTCTGATGTACACAGCAGTCGCTTCCATTCACTGTATATATAGTGACCTTCAAATCTCCATATTCCTCATAAAGGTAGAAAAGAGACCCGTGTAGCATATATATATATAAAGGATATAGAGACATTTACCACGTCGCCCAGCCACTGTAGAAATATGGCGGCAGGGCGGCACGGGCAGGCAAAATCACGTTTTAAAACGTGTGTTTTGTAAACAAGTAGGGGGCGCGCGCGAGGCGCGCCGCCGCCCTACCTGTCCCGCCGATCGCAGCCGCGGATGTCAGTCGCCGGGTCACAGCCGGTCCTTACCGGCTATCTCTCGGCGGCAATCAGTGACAGAGAGCACAGCTGCAGTAGCTGTGCTTTCTGTCACTTCCCTGACAGCTCGAGCACAAGCTGATCGGGACAGAAGAGTTTCTCTCTCCCGATCAGCCTGTCTCCATCCAGTACACCCCCCCCCCCCCTAGTAAAACACTCCCCTCACACAGATAACCCTTAAAAAAAAAATAAAGTTAACCCCTTCCTCCCCAGTGCCATTAGTACAGTGTCAGTGTTTTTTTTTTTTTTTTTTGCACTTATCACTGTATTGGTGTCACTGGGGATGTCAGTGACCCCAAGTCAGTTCACCCCCCCCCCCAGTGTCAGAATGTCCACCGCAGTCCCGCCATAAGTCGCTGATCGCCGCCATTATTAGTATAAAAAAAAACTAAAAATCCCAGTATCTTTCCCGCCATTTGTAAACGCTATAACTTTCACGTAAACCAATTAATTTACACGTATTGGGTTTTTTTTTTTTTTTTTAGCAAAGACGTCGCAGAATGCATTTTGGCAGAAATAAATGACTAAATTTGATTTTATAATTTTTTTTACTGGACATGTTTTATAGCAAAAAGTCCAAAATATTGTTTTTTTTTCCTTAAAATTGTCAGCCTTTTTTTTTTATAGCGCAAAAAAAATAACAACCGCACAGGCGATCAAATACCACCGAAAGAAAGCTCAATTTGTGCGGAAAAAAAGGATGTAAATTTCATTTATGTACCGTATTGCATGACCGCGCAATTGTCCGTTAAACTAGCGCAGCGCTGTATAGCAGAAAAATGGCGTAAATTGCAGTATCTCTCCCATAGTTTGTAGACGCTATAACTTCACACAAAGCAATCAATATACACTTATTGGGATTTTTTTTACCAAAAACATGGAGCAGAATACATTTTAGCCTAAATTTATAACCAACTTGGAGTTTACTATATATTTTTGATAGCTTAAAGTAAAAAAATATCGTTTTTCTTCAAAATTTTTGGCCTTTTTTTGGTCATAGCGTGAAAAATAAAAAGCGCACAGGTGATCAAATACCACCGAAAGAAAGCTGTATTTGTGTGAAAAAAAGGATGTAAATTTTGTTTGGGTGCAGCGTTGCATGACCGCGCAATTATCAGTTGAATTAGTGCAGCGCCGAGTAGCAAAAAGAGGCGTGGTCATTAAGGGGGGGGGAAATCCTCAGGAGGGGGAGGGGTTAATATATTAGTGAATGTTTTTCCAGCAGCAGTCACATCCAAGTCGCACCCATCCAAAGTTGTGTCAAAATTGTGCTCCAAAGTCGCACAACGTTGGGGTCGTACTCAGGGGGTGTGTTTACCACAAGGCATTTGCCTAGGGCAGCATTTTTCAGGGGGGGCAGCACCACTCCTCGGAAGAAGGGACCCATGCGGCACGGGGACCAGGTGGGATCTGAGAGAGGCTGCGGACTGCTTGTAGGTGTATGAAGAGCCTCAGAGACTCTCATTCCAGGGGATGTCTGGAGCTGTGAAGGTGAGTCTTTCTCTCACTGGGGGGGTGACTGGTAATGGAGGGTGGTGGTAGTGGAAGGCTTTCTCAGGTAGGGGGGTCAGGGGGGAGGTGGTGTTGGTTGGTGATGATCTATCCGTGGGAGGGGGGGCGCCGATTATTGTGTTGTCTAGAGCAGCACAAAACCTAAATGCCCCCCTGATTGTACTGGTGTGAAAATGTACAGTTGGCTGTGCTGTGTGTCGCAAGGCATGCTGGGACTCCTTTTTGAAGCCTTGGGACGTAGACGAGTCGATCTCTGCGATTTCTGGCGGTTCGGGGATCTTCGTTCTCACTTCTCTCTGTTACATTGTAGATCCTGAAGCGAGGATGTAACGTCAATGACCGGGACGGGCTGACAGACATGACTCTCCTACATTACACCTGCAAGTCCGGGGCGCAGGGGATCGGTGAGGACGCTGGTCGCTATGGACGCGTGGCGATCGATTTTCTAGCAATTTTTGGACTAATGACTGGTGTCGAGTATAGTCACAGCTCAGTAACCCCCTCATGGCTGACATAAAACAATTGTTACAGCAGACGTCCGTGTCCCCGCTGCAGTTGGGGGTTTTGCAGAGCAGCGTTGGCAGCTTTGCACATGCTCAGTTTTCAGTGAGGGATCATGGCTGAGCATTTCCTCCCTGTCGGTTCTGAGCAGCCCATGTGACTATAGAGTCACTCATGTGGGCGTGTACACAGTGGTAAAGGACTTCCTCCCTCCCTCCCTCCCCCCTCCTTCTCCATGCCCACTACCCAGCTAAGAATAATGGGGGGGGTGGGATATTACATCTTGATTGATGGAGGCTTCACATCCATGTTATTCTAATGCCAGCCATAGATGGGTCAAAAATCGGCTGATTTTTCGCACCGTTAGTGGGTTAATTGGTCGGCTGTTTTTTGGGGTTTTTGCACATTTTTTTTATCGGGCATGTTGGAAAAGTCACAGCCGATTTTCCCGGCAATGATGGGCAAATCGGCCGATCGTTTTACCGATTAAAAAAAAAAAGGGCATGAGCCGTGACCTGCAAGAAGAAGAAGAATTCCAGTCCGCTATTAGATACATTGTTGCAACCGCAAGACTTTTCATATAAAATATAATAGCGGACTGGAATTCTTAGGGACAGAAGTAATTATGGGGTTAAATGCCAGTCATAGATTTTTTTTTTTTTACCGTTGGTAGTAACTTTGGCCGATCGACCAACCGATTTTTTTCATTTTTTTTTTTTTTTTTTTTTTAAATGGCTGGTTTTCGACCCGTTTATGGCCTGCTTAAGACACAGCTCTCCAAACGTGTAACCAAAGGGCCAGTGTACTGTCCTTCAGACTTTAGGGGGCTAGTGGGAGTAGACAATGCCCCACCTTTGGTATCAGTTGGAGGAATACTGCTCCATCATTGGTGTCAGTGGAGGAATAGTGCCCCATCATTGGTGTCAGTGGGAGGAATAGTGCCCCATCATTGGTGTCAGTGGGAGGAATAGTGCCCCGTCATTGTGCCCCATCATTGATGTCAGTGGGAGGAATAGTGCCCCATCATTGGTATCAGTGGGAGGAATAGTGTCCCATCATTGGTGTCAGTGGGAGGAATAGTGCCCCATCATTGGTGTCAGTGGGAGGAATAGTGCCCCATCATTGGTGTCAGTGGGAGGAATAGTGCCCCACCTTTGGTATCAGTGGGAGGAATAGTGTCCCATCATTGATGTCAGTGGGAGGAATAGTGCCCCGATCATTGGTATCAGTGGGAGGAATAGTGCCCCATCATTGGTGTCAGTGGGAGGAATAGTGTCCCATCATTGGTGTCAGTGGAGGAATAGTGCCCCATCATTGTATCAGTGGGAGGAATAGTGCCCCATCATTGGTGTCAGTGGGAGGAATAGTGCCCCATCATTGGTGTCAGTGGGAGGAATAGTGCCCCATCATTGGGGTCAGTGGGAGGAATAGTGCCCCATCATTGGTGTCAGTGGGAGGAATAGTGCCCCATCATTGGTGTCAGTGGGAGGAATAGTGCCCCATCATTGGTGTCAGTGGGAGGAATAGTGCCCCATCATTGGTATCAGTTGGAGGAATAGTGCCCCATCATTGGTGTCAGTGGGAGGAATAGTGCCCCATCATTGGTGTCAGTGGGAGGAATAGTGCCCCATCATTGGTGTCAGTGGGAGAATAGTCCCCATCATTGGTGTCAGTGGGAGGAATAAAGCCCCATCATTGGTAACAATGTCAGTGGGGAGGAGGAATTCCCCCCACTGGGAGGAATAGTGCCCCGTCGTGGGTGTCATTGGGAGGAATAGTGCCCCTTTGTTCCCACTGGGAGGAATAGTGCCCCTTCGTTGGTGTCAGTATAGTGCCCCATCGGTGGTGTCAGTGACACCAAGTTGCATGCGCCCGCTCTCACACACGTGTGGTCTGCTCTCTCTCACACACGTGTGGTCTGCTCTCTCTCACACACGTGTGGTCTGCTCTCTCTCACACACGTGTGGTCTGCTCTCTCTCACACACGTGTGGTCTGCTCTCTCTCACACACGTGTGGTCTGCTCTCTCTCACACACGTGTGGTCTGCTCTCTCTCACACACGTGTGGTCTGCTCTCTCTCACACGTGTGGTCTGCTCTCTCTCCCACACGTGTGGTCTGCTCTGCTCTCTCTCCCACACGTGTGGTCTGCTCTGCTCTCTCTCACACACGTGTGGTCTGCTCACACACACAGGGGACGCAGATACGGCAGCCAAGTTTGCTTCTCATCTGATTGACATCGGGGCGGATATAAGCCTGAGAAGCCGCTGGACCAACATGAACGCCCTGCACTACGCCTCATACTTCGACGTCCCGGAGTTGGTCCACGTCATCCTGAAAGCTTCCAAACCAAAAGGTAAGAGGAGCTTCTAGGGGGCCGAAGATGGGAAATGACCCTTCAGAACCCTTGGAAAGGGGCTTGGCCACGCGGACGGCTGTAGGTGGTCTTCACTGACTCCATGCTAAGCACTGCCTGCAGGAGATGCACCGTCCAAGCTGGATCCAGTGCTGAGCACGGTGTCAGAGCATTTCCATCCGCTGATATGTACAGTTGTGCTCCAAAGTCTCCCTCCTCTGGCAGAAATTGTGGAATTTTGGCATTGATGGTGAAAATCTGACTGGATCCTGCCAAAAAATCTGTCTTTTATTGAAGGATAGTGATGATAGGAAGCCATTTATGATCACATCGTTGTTTGGCTCCTTTTTTAAAATCCTAATAACAGAAATCCCCCAAATGGCCCAGATCAGAAGTCTCCGCCCCCGGATCAGAAGTCTCCGCCCCCTGGGATGTTCGGCCTTGGTACAGACACACAAGGGGACACACACAGGGCACAATGGCAATTAAAAGGTTAATTTCCCACATATGTGACTTTTTTAAATTGCAATTAGTATCTGTGTATAAATAGTCAATGGGTTTGTTCGCTCTCACGTGGATGCAGGATATACTGAGCCATGGGGAGCAGATAAGAACTGTCAAAGGACCTGCGTAACAAGGGCATGGAACTTTAAAAAGATGGAAAAGGATATAGAAAGATATTGAAAGCCTTGAATAGGCCAGTCAGTGCTGTTCAATCACCTATTAAGAAGTGGAAAGTTCAGGGATCTCTTGATACCAAGCCAAGGTCAGGTAGACTGAGAAAGATTGCAGCCATAACTGCCAGAAGAATTGTTCGGGATACAAAGAAAAAACCCCACAAGTATCCTCAAGAGAAATACAGGCTGCTCTGGGAAAAGATGGTGTGTGTTTTTTTTTTTTTTTTTTTTTCAAGCAGCACAATACGACATACTTGAACAAAAATGAGCTGCATGGTGGAGTTGCCAGAAAGAAGTCTTTATGGAGCCAATGTCCCACAAAAGCCCGGTGAGGTGTGTCAAGGTGTCGTCGGGCATATTGTAACCAGGATTTTTTGCCAAAAAGAAGCCTTTACTGCTGCAACAAAGCCCGGTTACAATATGCCCGACAACACCTTGACACGCCTCACCGGGCTTTTGTGGGACATTGGCTCAGTAAAGACTTCCTTCTGGCAACTCAGCCATGCAGCTCATTTTTGTTGAAGTATGGTTCTATTGTGCTCCTTGAAACAACTGCACCGTCATTTTCCAGAGCCTCCTGTATTTCTCCTGAGGTTACCTGTGGGGGCTTTTTATTTGTATCCCCACCAATTCTTCTGTGATCTTTCTTGGTCTACCTGACCTTGCCTTGGTATCCAGAGATCCCTGAATTTGCCACCTGTTAAGTGATTGAACAGAACTGACTGACATATTCATGGCTTTGGATACCTTTTTTATATCCTTTTCCATCTTTATAAAGTTACCTTGTTACCCAGGTCTTTTGACAGTTCTTTTCTGCTCCCCATGGCTCAGTATCTAGCCTGCTCAGTGCATCCACGTGAGAGCGAACACACTCATTGACTGTTTATACACAGATACTAATTGCAATTTAAAACAGATGTGGGAAATTAACAGTTTAACCCCTTCCAGTCCGGACACTTTTACCCCTCTTCCTGACCAGGGCAATTTTCAGCTTTTAGCGCTATCACGCTTTGAATGACAATTGTGCAGTCATGCAACACTGTACCCAAATGAATTTTTTACCATTTTTTTGAGACAGATAAAGCTTTATTTTGGTGGTATTTATTCACCACTGGGATTTGTATTTTTTTTGCTATGTAAATGAAATGTCCAAAAATTTTGAAAAAAAGTGTTTTTTTTTTTTATAAAATTTTGCAAATAAATAATATTTCATCATAAATCTTAGCCAAAATTTATTCCGTTATCTTTTTAGTAAAAAAAAAAAAAAATCCAAATTAGTTTATAAGCAAAAATTATAATTTTTAAACATTTTTTTTTTACATTTTTATTTTATTTTTTTATATTATTTTTTTTTTTTTTATAATTTTTTTTTTACATACTGTCACCCTAGCAGTAGTGTCACCATGGTGACACTGTACTACTTGTGGGGGGTGATGAAGATTTTTTTTTTTTTACACTGATTGCTTTTACACCCATATAGGATGTAAAAGCAATCATTTCTCTTTCTCTCTGTGTGCATTCTTGCAGCCATTGAGAAGTACTGAGTGAGCTGTGATTGGTCACAGCTTGTCACATGGTACAAGGCTTTTGTGAATAGCCTTGTACCATGTGACCTCTGTGATCATTCACAGATTTCACACGTAGTAAGCAATGATGTCAGAAGTGACATCTTGCTTACTACTTTGCATGTGATCACTGATTGGCCAATCAGTGATCACATAATCGGGACCTCGTACAGAGGTCCCGTCCGACGATCGGTGTTTCACTGTGTCCGGAGGACACAGCGGGCACCGGATCGCGGTGCTGCGCGCTCCCAGGGAGCGCGCACAAGCAGGGTGCTGGGAGACCGTTTATAGATGTCCACCCGACCCTGCAGTGCCACCGTCCGGCCGCTTATATACAACGGCCGGACGGGAGGTGATTAATTGCCATTGTACCCTGTGTGTGTCACCTTGTGGGTCTGTACCAAGGACGAAACATTCCAGGGGGCGGAGACTTCTGATCCGGCCATTTGGGGGGATTCCTGTTATCACTGAATTTTCCACTTCTTAATAAGTGATTGAACAGAACTCACTGGCACTGGCCTATGCAAGGCTTTGGATATCTTTGTATATCCTTTTCCATCTTTATAAAGTTACCTTGTTACGCAGGTCTTTTGACAGTTCTTTTCTGCTTCCCGTATCCCCCTCCCAGCTGTAATAAAGGAAGTGGTTGGGTATGCATGTGCATCGCAGACTCCAGTATGCCCATCCTATGTCATGCATTAGCAGTGCAGGAAGGGGGCGCCGTTCTCCTCCCTGCCCGGGGTGCTGGACAGACTCGTCCCGGTACCCTGTCCATGATTGACCGCACGGACTCGGATAAATTTGCTGAATTGACACTGGCTATCCTTCAACCCAAAAGTCTGGTGGCCTCTAGTGGCAGAAAATAAAACCTGCAGGCTACAGCTCCAGTGTGAAGGTAGGTATTGCAGAAGGAGTTGCTTTTTATACACGGCTCAGAAAATTAAAGGAAGACTTTGTGATCCGAGTCTAGCAGCACGTCAGTGAAACTCCTGGGATATGGATCTGGTCAGGTAAGTCACAGAGGGGGTTGTTCATCAGTTTCAGCTGCTTTGGTGTTCATGAAATGAACAACAGGTGCACTAGATGGGCAATAACGGGACGACCCCCAAAACAGGAATGGTTTTACAGGTGGTGGCCACTGACTTTTTTTTTTTTTTCCCTCCTCATCTTTTCTGACTGTTTTTCACTCGTTTTGCATTTGGCTCGGGTCAGTGTCACTACTGGTAGCATGAGGCCATACCTGGACCCTACAGAGGTTGCACAGGCAGTCCAACTCCTCCAGGATGGCACATCAATACCTGGCACTGCCAGAAGGTTTGCTGTGTCTCCCAGCACAGTCTCAAGAGCATGGAGGAGATTCCAGGAGACGAGAGCATGGAGGAGATTCCAGGAGACGAGAGCATGGAGGAGATTCCAGGAGACGAGAGCATGGAGGAGATTCCAGAGACGAGAGCATGGAGGAGATTTCCAGGAGACAAGAGCACGGAGGAGATTCCAGGAGACGAGAGCATGGAGGAGATTCCAGGAGACAGGCAGTTCCTCTAGGAGGGCTGGACAGGGCCATAGAAGGTCCTTAACCCATCAGCAGGACCGGTATCTGCTCCTTTGTGGAAGGAGGACCAGGATGAGCCCTGCCAGAGCCCTACAAAATGACCTCCAGCAGGCCACTGGTGGGAATGTCTCTGACCAAACAATCAGAAACAGACTTCATGAGGGTGACCTGAGGGCCCGACGTCCTCTAGTGGGCCCTGTGCTCACTGCCCGGCACCATAGAGCTGGATTGGCATTGGCCATTGAACACCAGAATTGGCAGGTCCACCACTGGCACCCTGTGCTTTTCACAGATGAGAGCAGGTCCACCCTGAGCACATGTGACAGACGTGAAAGGGTCTGGAGAAGCCGTGGAGAACGTTCTGCTGCCTGTAACATGGTTCAGCATGACCGTATTGGTGGTGGGTCAGTGATGGTCTGGGGAGGCATCTCCATGGAGGGACACACAGACCTCTACAGGCTAGACAATGGCACCCTGACTGCCATTAGGTATGGGGATGAAATCCTTGGACCCATTGTCAGACCCTACACTGGTGCAGTGGCTCCTGGGTTCCTCCTGGTGCGGTGGCTCCTGGGTTCCTCCTGGTGCGGTGGCTCCTGGGTTCCTCCTGGTGCGGTGGCTCCTGGGTTCCTCCTGGTGCGGTGGCTCCTGGGTTCCTCCTGGTGCAGTGGCTCCTGGGTTCCTCCTGGTGCGGTGGCTCCTGGGTTCCTCCTGGTGCAGTGGCTCCTGGGTTCCTCCTGGTGCGGTGGCTCCTGGGTTCCTCCTGGTGCGGTGGCTCCTGGGTTCCTCCTGGTGCGGCGGCTTCTGGGTTCCTCCTGGTGCGGTGGTGGGTCCTGGGTTCCTCCTGGTGCAGGACAATACCCGGCCTCATGTAGGGGGAGTATGCAGGCAGTTCCTGGAGGATGAAGGAATTGATACCATTGAATGGCCCCCACGCTCACCTGACCTAAATCCAATAGAACCCCTCTGGGATGTCATGTTTCGGTCCATCCGACGCCACCAGGTTGCACCTCAGACTGTCCAGGAGCTCAGTGATGCCCTGGTCCAGATCTGGGAGGAAATCCCCCAGGACACCATCCGTGGTCTCATTAGGACCCTCCCCCGACATTGTCAGGCATGCATACAAGCACGTGGGGGCCACACAGACTACTGAGGACCATTCTGAGTTGCTGCAATGACATTTCACCAACATGGACTGCATCATTTCTTCACTTTGATTTTCGGGGTGTCTTTGAATTCAGTCCTCTGTAGGTCGATCATTTTAAACCAATGATGGGGCGTCCTTACATTCCTCACCCATCCCCCGTCCATGTCAGTATAGAGATCCAGCAGGAGATTCCTCCTCATTCAGATCTCAATGGGGAACAAAGTCTTCCTTTCAGTTATTTGAGCCGTGGGGTGTACTTTAATAAAAACAAACAAACAAACTTCCTTTGACCTGTTTAGTGAATGTGGAGGTAGTTGCGATTGCACGGTCATGCCGCAGTGTTGAGCTCTCAGCATGTTTGCCTCTCAGGGAGGAAAGTAATCCATGTACATCCGCTGTGACCGTTTAGCTCCCCCGTGTGAATTCCCGCAGTGGAATGGATGTTGTATTTCCTGTGAGATGTCGCAGTTCTGCGTCCCGTCGCCCCGCTGTGACTTTTCTGTTTTCCCTTCAGATGTGGATGCCACCTGCAGTGACTTTGATTTCGGGACGGCGCTGCACATTGCCGCTTCAAACCTGTGCTTGGGAGCCGCCAGATCCCTGCTGGAGAACGGAGCCAATCCCGCCTTCCGGGTAAGAGCGCACACAGACTAATTGGCAAACGTTACCACCTGCGCCGGGGAAGACAAACGGCGAGCCGCTCATTTCCCGACTTCTGATGACTTTGGGGGGAATCGTACGCGGCGTGGAGAGAGAACGCGGTGGGATTTATTTACCAGCTTCATAGCTTGTGGGATTATCCTCTGCACACACCTGAGGGGGGGGGGGGGGGGGATATGTATAAAAATGTGTTGTGAATGTTTTGGCGAGGAAGTCGCGAATTATCCTTGTAATGTGTGAGATGTCAGGTGGTTTTGTGGCCTTTTGCAGGGCGAATGTAACATTCCCTAACATTCATTAGCCGTATGAATATTCAGACAGAACATTCGACCAGAATAGAAAATAGGCAACACTGGAGGCCCAGAACATCCAGCCAGACGAGGGAATAATATCAGGAAGATCTCCGCCAAGTGTATGGAGATTCCTGGGATCACCACTGACGTCATGAATGAGCAACTGCAGAGAGTGATCTGATATACAGAATGGATACATTGTTGCAGAGAGTGATCTTATATACAGAATGGATACATTGTTGCAGAGAGTGATCTGATATACAGAATGGATACAATGTTGCAGAGAGTGATCTTATATATACAGAATGGATACATTGTTGCAGAGAGTGAACTGATATACAGATTGGATACATTGTGGCAGAGAGTGATCTGATATACAGAATGGATACAATGAGAGAGAGAGAGAGAGAGAGAGAGAGAGAGAGAGAGAGAGAGAGAGATGAGAGAGATGGATATATACAGAATGGATACAATGTTGCAGAGAGTGATCTGATATACAGAATGGATACATTGTTGCAGAGAGAGAGAGAGAGAGAGAGAGAGAGAGAGAGAGAGAGAGAGAGAGAGAGCGAGCTGATATACAGATTGGATACATTGTGGCAGGGAGATCTGGTATACAGAATGGATACAATGTTGCAGAGAGTGATATACAGAATGGATACATTGTTGCAGAGAGTGATCTGATATACAGAATGGATACATTGTTGCAGAGAGAGAGAGAGAGAGAGAGAGAGAGGGCTGATATACAGATTGGATACATGTGTGGGGAGTGGATATACAGAATGGATACAATGTTGCAGAGAGTGAGATATACAGAATGGATACATTGTGCAGAGAGAGTGATCTTATACAGAATGGATACATTGTTGGATACATATGTTGCAGAGAGAGTGAACTGATATACAGAATGGATACATTGTTGCAGAGAGTGATCTTATATATAGAATGGATACATTGTTGCAGAGCGTGAACTGATATACAGAATGGATACATTGTTGCAGAGAGATCTGATATACAGAATGGATACAATGTTGCAGAGAGTGATCTTATATATAGAATGGATACAATGTTGCAGAGAGTGATCTTATTATAGAATGGATACATTGTTGCAGAGCGTGAACTGATATACTTTATATATTTAGTATTTTTTACACATTTGTTTGTATTCTCCAGCCTGTAATAACAGTTTGGTCATTTTTTTTTAAATATTTGCCAATTAAACCGTAAATGTGAAACAAAATGCTTTCTATATGCAGATAAATCCCAGTTCTTGTTGATGACAGGTGGAGGTAACTCTGGCCGGCTCCTCGGCTCCATTGACCTCCTGCCATGGAAGGGTTAATAGGCGGCACGTTTGGTAGGATGACTGAGTTATAGATCTCCAGTGTAGCTGTGTCCCTATCAGGTGGTGGCAGCAGGTAGCTCCGCCCTCACGCAGTGGTGGTAGCAGGTAGCTCCGCCCTCACGCGGTGGTGGTGTGAACGTTCCCACGCTCCCTCCGAGGAAGGCGGGCTCAGAAACATTCCACGCCCCTTGGGGTGGTGACAACGTCCCGCGTCGGTCGTTAGGCGGTAACACCAAAAACAGATGTAAGGATCGAAATTGCACATTTATACATGAAACGTGTTTCACCTTTTTGTGACCATTTTGAGGTTTTCTCACCCCTTTCCTTCCTGAACGGATAGCGGGTGAAAGAAATCGTACATCTATCTGCACTCCTTGTATAAAGGGAGGAAGCGGGGCCAATTCTTGTCCAGGGGCCCCGGGTTCATTCACACCTGTTCTCTCTTCCTCTTGGCTCCCTGTACAGGAAGACGAATACACATTGGGATGAGTATAGAGACTTTTTTTTTTTTTGGTGTTTTTGTTGTGTTTTGTGGTGTCCTAGAAACCTGCGTCTCTTAACCTCTTCATTACCGAGGTCAAAACAGATCCCAAATCCCAACGCCGAAACCCGAGTTAGTAAATCTGTATCATCGCAGCTATTTTGTGTATCCAGGTGGATTATACCATGGGGTTTTTTTTCGACCTTTATTTGGTGGTAAATGGTAACAGATATATCCTGATTTTGTTCGATTGGCAAATAAAAAACGGACAGATTAAAAAAATATGATTTTTTTTTAAATGAAACTGTATATTTTATTTCTTGCTGGTACCATAAAAGAACAACCCAAAATAAATTCTTCTACTCCTGGCGATCGCAATGATACCACACACAGTTGGGTCCAGATATATTCGGGCACAGGCACAATTTTTTAGTTTGTTTTTTTTTTTAGGTATTTACCAAAACATATTCCAGCTGTAGTTCTATGATGGATCTGGGCGGACGGTGCGCACTCTCTGGGGTAATTTGAGGGTTTGTACATCCACAGTGGGGGAACGGTTTAGGAATTACAGCTCTTAAGAGTAGCCATCCCCCCTTTTTCACCAAAAGTAGTTCCAGTGAAGGGAACTCTTAAGGTGACATTTTGGACAATTTCATGCTCCCAACTTTGTGGGAGGAGTTTGGGGATGGCCCCTTCCTGTTCCAACATGACCGCCCACCAGTGCACAAAGCAAGGTCCATAAAGACATGGAGGAGCCAGTTTGGGGTGGAGGAACCAGGGGCGGACTGACAACCCTAGGATGAACTTGACTGTCCTGCACAGAGTCCTGACCTCAACCCCATAGAACACCTTTGGGATGAATTAGAGCGGAGACTGCGAGCCAGGCCTCCTCCCCCGACATCAGTGCCTGACCTGACAAATGTGCTTCTGGAAGAATGGTCCAACCTTCCATAGACACCCTCCTAAACCTTGTGGACGGCCTTCCCCCAGAAGAGTTGAAGCTGTTATAGCTGCAAAAGGGCGGGCCCAACTCAATATTGAACCCTACGGACTAAGACTGGGGGGCCCATTAAAGGTCATGTGTGGGGAAAAGGGCGGGGCCAACTCAATATTGAACCCTATGGACTAAGACTGGGGGGGCCATTAAAGGTCATGTGTGTGGAAAGGCAGTGGGCCCAATACTTTGGGCAATGCAGTCAGGCAAGTACCGTTCTCCTGGCTACCACCAAACCCAGACACGTCCATCGGATTGCCAGACAGAGAAGCGTGATTGGTCACTCCAGAGAACACGCCTCCACTGCTCTAGAGTCCAGTGGCGGCGTGCTTTACACCACAGCATCCAACGCTTTGCATTGCACTTGGTGATGGAAGGCTTGGATGCAGCTGCTCGCCATGGAAACCCATTCCATGAAGCTCTCTACGCACCAAGTTTGGAGGTCTTTAGCTATTGACTCTGCAGACAGTTGGCGACTTCTGCGCACTGTGCGCTTCAGCATGCGCTGACCCCGCCCTGTCATGTGACGTGGCCTACCACTTGGTGGCTGAGTGGCTGTTGTTCCCAGTGGCTTCCACTTTGTTATAATCCCACTAACAGTTGAGCGTGGAATATTTAGTAGCCAGAAAATGTCACGGATGGACTTATTGCCCAGGTGGCCACCTATCACGGGACCACGCTTGGAGTCACTGAGCTCCTGAGAGCGACCCATTCTTTCACCAATGTTTGTAGAAGCCGTCTGCATGCCTAGGGGCTTGATTGTATACACCTGTGTCCATGGAGGGGATTGGAACACCTGAATCTCATGATATGGAGGGGATTGGAACACCTGAATCACATGATTGGGGGGATTGGGGGGGGATTGGAACACCTGAATCACATGATTGGAGGGGATTGGAACACCTGAATCACATGATATGGAGGGGATTGGAACAACCTGAATCACACATGATATGGAGGGGATTGGAACACCTGAATCACATGATATGGAGGGGATTGGAACACCTGAATCACATGATATGGAGGGGATTGGAACACCTGAATCACATGATATGGAGGGGATTGGAACACCTGAGTCACATGATTGGGAGGGGATTGGAACACCTGAATCACATGATATGGAGGGCGGGGCCAATACTTTTGGCAATATAGTGTGTGTGTATATTCATAATTTTTTTTTTTTTTAATAACAAACGTAATACTTTCTCTGTATTTATTGTTCTGCACACAGAGCAGCCCCCGATCCCCCCCCTCCTTGGGTCCCTGCTGAGAGCCCCCAAAGCATACTGCACTCGTGGGCTCACTCCGGCCAGCTCTGTGTGTCCATAGGCACACAGAGCGAGGCTCAGCCCCCCCAGGTCCTTTTTTTCACTGACTGCGATTGACAGCAGCAGGGACCAATGGCTCCTGCTGCTGTCTCTGAGCCACTGAGGAGGGAGAGAGCCAAGGGAGCCTTTGTTTTTTGGCATAGCTTTGGATGGAGATCGGACTCGGTAAGTCTAATGGTGGGCTGTGCGGATGGGTTGGGTTGGGGGGGTTGGGTTGGGGGGGGGGGGGATAAATGCATGCTGAAAGTTGTGTTTTTTTTTGTTTTTTTTTTAAATCTAGATAAAAACCTTTTTGCTTACAGAACCACTTTAAAGGTCCACTTCTAGGTTATGTTTTTTTTAATAACCAGCTGTGAACTTTTTTTGTAAATTAAAACTTGAAGCGTCGCCCCCAAGGGACTCGTCTCGTCTCTGAGCGGTCGACTTTCTGTATGGATTTCCAGCACTTTGTAACCACATAGTAAATCTTCATGTCGGTATTCTAGTCAGCAGGAAACGTGAAGCGGAAATCCCCTCCTACTCTCTCTGTTTCTTTTGTCTCGCTGACAATCTCTGTGTTCATAGAATTCGATGGCGGAGTTCTGACACCGTACGCTGGATGAATGGACAGGCACACATGGGGGGGGGGGGGGGGGGGGATTTACTAAAGGCAAACAGACTGTGCACTCCAAGTGCAATTGCTCCAGAGCTTAGTAAATGAGGTGACACTTCACTTTGCATAGAATACCCAATCACAGGCAAGGAAAATTTAACAGCATTTTTGCTTGCACATGATTGGGATGATGGAGTCATCAGAGCTTCTGCTCATTGACTAGGCTCTGGAGGAACCGCACTTGCAAAGTACACAGTCTAATTGCCTTTAAATCCACCCCCTTGTTCCTTAAAGTGACAGCTGAGCCCCCGCTGTGAAAGGAGCAGTCTAGAGGCTCACCTCCCCGGAAGGTCAAGATGCAAATCTTTTTTTTTTGTTTTTTTTTTTCATTTTTTTTCTTTTCTTTTTCATAATTTTTTCCCTGTTCTTTTCTTCCTCCCCTTTTTTTTTTTGTTTTTCATTACTTTTTCAGTTTTTTTATTTTCCACTTTTTTTCGCCCTATTTTTTTCATTATTTTTTCCTCTGTTTTTTTTTTTTTTTTGCATGTATTTTCCTTTTTATTTTCCATTGTCAATAACATATCAACTGACAGGTTTTTTTAACAGCGAAAACTATGTGTATGAGAAGGGACTTCGATCTCCATCAGCAGCTATAGTCGACGCTCAGATATACAGCTTGGCAATCGTTCTATGGTGTGTTATCCGCTTCCCCCCCAACAATGGTAACTGCAGATGGGCAGCTGCTGCAGGCAAAGGCTGTGCCCGTACTTCACTGCTTACCTCCTCATCTTTTCCCTCCCAGCCAATGTACACTGTGATTGTACACCGCAGGAGCCACTGTCAGCAAGGTTGCCCCAGCCATGATTCACTGGCCGGGACCTGCTGATCAGCTGTGTCCAATCACAAGCCCAGAGCTCTGTTTGTTTGACAAATCAACACAGAGCTCTGTACAGAGAATCGATCTCTCAGTTTGTCTCATCCCTAGAAAGCAGGGAGAGAGAAACTGAGAGAGATTTCAGCTAGTAAAAAGCATCACATTGTACACACATTACACATAGTTGGGCCTTCCCACATTTTAACCCTCTCCCAGCCAGTAACTCATTAGTACAGTGACCGTGGTATAGTGTTTCCTCACCCATCACCTGACGTTTTAGTGTCCGATTGGTGATGTCAGTGGCAGTTAGTCCCCCCCCCATGTCAGTTAGTGTCATATATTCTCGCCGAGCACTAATCACAGTCCCATTAGTAGTATAAAACAAATATACACTGTCCCTGGAATTCTCCTATTTATATCCTCCTTATATTTTGCGTTTAGCCCACCAACGTTCACTTGACAAACCAATCAATTACACACTTATTGGACCTCTTTCTTATCCCAGACATGTAGCAGAATACATTTTACATTACCAAAATGTCTATGAAAGAAATTATATATATATAATATATAAATATATATACTATACCTAGTATATTATTCTCGTTTTTTTGCGTCTTTCGCCTTAATTTATTTCTCAAAAAAGTAAAATCCCCCAGTGATTGGATAAAAATACTCACTAAATGTCGTAACCTCTCTATTTCTGTTGAAAAATGATATACTAATCCCTAGTTAGGTACATGGTTTGCATGACCGCCCTCACCGGTTGTTTTATCCTCATACCCCAGTTAAAAACGTAGTTCGCTACAGATATATCTTGAATAGAAAAACATCATGGCCTGTGTCCATGAAGGGGGTGAAACCTTCCAGAGCTGAAGATGGTTATACATAGCGCTCTCTAGATCGTCACGTAAACCTCACGATCTCTTACACATCGAATCAGCGGCACTGTAGACTACTTTTGTCCATTCTCATACAATGGGTCAGGTGCTTATAGTATGACAGCAGGGCTTTTGTCCTTCCAGTGGTGATCACACACCCTTTTGCATGGGCGCTCCCCACTGAAATTCTTCCCTGTACTCTGTAGGGGTGCGGTCCTTACTCGAGGGTCTTTGATGCTGTCAAGCTGCGGAAATATATTGTTTCAGAGGTCTTATAAGTTGCCGCTCTGATGGGGTCACTTTTCTTCGTGCTGCCTGTACTCGTTGAGGAGGAGGTCCTATTGTTCTTTTTTTCCATGGTCAGTTGGATGGTCTATCCTTGGGGAGGTTTCGCTGGGAGATCGTTTGTTACCTGTTGGGGGCAGAGATGATTCACACCACAAGAGCAAACAAGGCATTTGCCTACTCCTAGGGCCAGTGCATCTTTCTTTTCAGGGGGGTGGCGCTCCAGAAGGGACAGAAGAATGGTTCACGCGGCAATGGGGACCAAGTGGTGATCCTTGATAGGCTACGGGATGCTTTTACTGTATGCAGCAGCCCGACTCTACATATCCCTCTCGGGGATGTCCTCATTGCAGGATCCTGGTTTGTAAGGGGGGGGGCGGCGTTGGAATGATTCTCTCGGCCGGGGGGTGAGAGGGTTCTCTTGGTGTTTGTATCATTTGTCTGGCCCTCTCCAATGGGGGAGAGTGTGGGGTGATGTGGTTTGATCAGTGTCAGGATTTTCTCTGCGGGGGGGTGCGGGGCCGACATTTTTTTCGTGTTGTCTAGATCAGATAAAACCTCAATACAGAGTCAGTCTGTCGATTGACTTGGGTTGATGATAGACAGTTTCCCCTAGCGAAAAAAAAGTATAGTGAACCCCTTTGGGAATTACGTGGAGCTGCTTTTGTTGCCATGAAATTTGGCATAAAAATCGCGTGCCTCTACAACGTCATCTAATCTCAACAATAGAAGAACAACAGTCACTTTTTTTGTGTTTTAGAAATATGTAAATACAATGTTTGGTGTGAGAAAGTTTACACTCTTCAAAGCAGCCTCTCGCCCTGTATCTACACTCTCTTCATAGCTGTCTCAGCTTTCCTCCCTCTATCCTTGAACACTCCACCCCCCCTCCCCCCCCTCAATTTCCATTTTACTTCTTCCATTGTACTTGTCAGTGTATCTTCTCTACCTTCCCGTTTCTCCCCATACATCAAACAATCTTCCCCTTCCTTTTCCTTTCCCTTCTAGTAGCTCTCACCCTCTTTCTTTCTCCTCTCCTCCCCCCCCTTTCCTCATCCCCCCCTCCTCCTTTTCCTCCCCTTCTTTTCTCCTCCCCTCTTTCTCGCTCTCTTTCCCTCCCCTCCCCTCTCCTTCTCCCCCCTCTCCCTTCTTCCTCTCTCTCTCTTCCTCCCCCCTTTCTCTCTCTCTCTCTTACTTCCTTTCTTCTCCCTCTCTTCTCTTCCCCCCCTTCTTCTTTTTTCTCTCTCTCCCTTTCTCTCCCTCCATTCTCTCTTCTCTTCCCTTTCTTCTCCCCTTCCTTCCCTCCTCCTCTTTTCTGCTCTCCCTCCTTTTCTCCTCTCTCTCTTTCTCTCCCTCCCCTTCTCCTTCCTTCCCTTCCTCTCTCTCCCTTTCCTTTCCTCTCTTCCTCTTCTTCTCTCTTTCTCTCCCCCCTTCCTCCTCCTTCCCTCCCGCTCTCTTCTTCCTTCTTCTCCCCTCTCCCTTCTCCCCTTCTCTCTAACCTCCTCCCTTTTCTTCTTCCCTCTCCTCCTTCCCTTCTTCCTCTCCCCTTTCTCTCTTCTCCTTCCCTCTCTCTTCTCTTCTCCCCTCCCTTCTCCTTCTCCTTCCTCCCCTTCTCCTTCCCCTCTCTCCTCCTCTCTCTCTTTCTCTCTCCTCTCTCCTTCTTCTTCCCCCCCCTTTTTTCTTTCTTCCCTCCCTCTCTCTCCCTCTTCTCCCCGCTCTTTCCTCTTTCCTCCCTCTCTCCCTCTTTCCTCCTTTCTCTTCCTCTTCTCTCCCTCCCTTTCTTTTTTCCCCTTCTCCTCCTTTCTCCTCTCTCCCCTCCTCTCTCTCCTCTCTCTTTTCCTCCTTCTCCCTCTTTCCCCTCTCCTCCCCCCTTCTTTTTCTCTTCTCTTCTCTCTCCTCCCCCTCTCCCCTCCTTCCCCTCTCTTCCCTCTCTTCCTCTCCTCCTCCTCCCTCCCTCTCCTTTCTTTTTCTTCTCTTCCTCCTTCCCCCCCTCTCCTTTCTTCTCCCCCCTCCCCCCCCCTTCTCCCCTCCCCCCCCCCCTCCCCTTCCTCCCTCCCCTTCTCTCCCCCCTTTCT